AAAAAGTTTATTTGAGAGGAAGAAAGAGAGAGAGCATGAGTGGGGGGAGGAGAGGGGCAGAGAGTGAGAGAGAGAGAGAATTCCAAGCAGGTTCCGCACTGTCAGCACAGAGCCCAACGCGGGCCTTGGTCCCACGAACCATGAGATCATGACCTGAGCCAAAATCAAGAGTCAGACGCTCAACTGACTGAGTCACCCAGGTGCCCCTCCCTTGCCACCACTTATTCTCTGCTATCCCACAATTCCTAAGATCTGTATTAGATGCATATTATACGGGTAACTACAAACCTTTAGAGAATTTTCTGTTATTGTTACAATGACCAGGAAAAATGAAAGAGGATTGTATTGACTTATAGATCATATGTATTTATTTAATCTTAAAAAAAATCACGTATTTTTAAGAATTTTATTTTATTTTTTTTATTTAAAAAAAATTTTTTTAACGTTTTATTTATTTTTGAGACAGAGAGAGACAGAGCATGAACGGGGGAGGGGCAGAGAGAGAGGGAGACACAGAATTGGAAGCAGGTTCCAGGCTCTGAGCCATCAGCCCAGAGCCCGACGCGGGGCTCGAACTCACGGACCGTGAGATCGTGACCTGAGCTGAAGTCGGACGCTTAACCGACTGCGCCACCCAAGCGCCCCAAGAATTTTATTTTAAAATAAAAATTGTATCTAAAGTGTACAACACACAAAAATAAAGCACACAGCATGGAGATGCAATATACCTAATGAAATGATGACTACAGTCAAGCTAATTCACACATCATCTCCTCACCTGGTTACTATTTCTGTGTGTGTGAGGACAGCACCTTTTGCAGTAAATTCCCATTATTCAATACAGTATTATTAATTATGGTCATCATGCTGTACATTAGCTCTCTAGACTTATTCATTATACATAACTGCAACTTTGTTCTGAATATCTCCCCATTTACCCACCTTCCTGCTCCTGGTAACCACTGTTATACTCTGCTTCTGTGCTATATGTTTGACTTTTTTATATTCCTATGTAAGTGAGATTGTACACTTCCTTCTCTGTTTGGCTTATCTCATTTAGTATAATGTTGCACATGGCAGATATTATCATGTGTATTTATATTAGGTTAAGCCATATGAGATTGCTGATATTTGATCATTTTTAACCTACAAAGATAGCAATTTCTTTTTTTTTTAATTTTTAAATTTTTAATTTTTTTTTTTTTTTTTTGAGAGAGAGACATAAGCTGAGAAGGGTCAGAGAGAGAGGGAGACACAGAATCCAAAGCAAGCTCCAGGCTCCAAGCTGTCAGCACAGAGTGTGACATGGGGCTCGAACCCACGGACCGCGAGATCATGACCCGAGCCAAAGTCAGACAGTTAACTGACTGAGCCACCCAGATGCCCCTTAACCTACAAAGATAGCAGTTTCATATGGCTCAATCCTGTATAATTAGAGCTTGAATAGAAGCAGATCTTATGGCACGGTCATAAAAGTTCCTTTTTCTACTAAGGGACAAAAAAAAAAAAAAATTGGAGAAAATTAAAGAGCCACCATAAGTAATTGTGTCATATGTTAGTAACCGTAACATTGAATGCTACTAACTAACTTAATGTTGAACTTTTGAGAAGCCTTTCAAGTCTGACTGTGAAAAAAGCCTTTTCTTTGCTTTCAGTCTAAAGGGGAAGATCAGTGGTGTTTCCAATGCTTTGGCACACTAGTAAATGGGCTTTGTTTCCTTTTTAAAAAGTTTTTAAAATTTTTTTAATGCTTACTTATTTTTGAGAGTGAGCGAGCAGGGGAAAAGCAGAAAGAGAGGGAGACAGAGGATCTAAAGCAGGCTCTGTGCTGTCAGTGAAGAGCCCAGTGCAAGTCTTGAACTCCTAAACCGCAAGATCGTGACCTGAGACGAAGCTGGAAGCTTAATCTACTGAGCCATCCAGGAGCTCTGCTTTGTTTCTTTTTTTTTTAACAGCTGAGGGAAAATGACTGAAAAGGGGAGTCAGAAGCAAAGCTGAAAGAATAATTATTACAAAGAGCCAAGCTAAATTCACTAATTCACTGTCAGGCAGTTTTCACTGTCTTACAAAGAAATAAGGCTATTGCTGTTTGAAGAATCTCAAACTCAGATGTTCCAGAGTGCATGCTGTTAATGCCATTTGTCCCCTAGAACAGTTTTGTTTTTGAGTTGCTGCAGTCTTGTCCTCTGGCATTACGTGGTCCCAGCATCTGCTCTGCCTTCCCTTTGGGTATCACACTAAGACACACCTTCTTAGAAATTATGGATCTGAGTTTTTCACAGTGAGGAAATGCTATCCCTTTACTTAATGCTTGAGTCTCTCTCTCTCTCTCTCTCTCTCTCTCTTTTTTTTTTTTTTTAACTCTGAAAAGCAGGAGGATCCAGAGCTTTGCGTGTTGGTCAGTGAATGGGGTATACTCTGATAATGTGAGAACAAAGTCAGAAAATGGGATTCAGTGAAACAGGTGATGGTAATTACAATGTAACATGCACAAGATTGGCCATTGGTGGAAACAAATCAGAAATGACACGGCCTTGGATCCAAATCTTGGCTCTACAACTTATTAGCAGGGTGACTTTGGCCATGTCATTTAACCCCATGCCTCAGTTTCCATAGCTGTAAAACGGGAATAACAGTATATCTATCTAATGGGTCTCCTGGGTGGCTCAGTCGGTTGAACATCTGACTTTGGCTCAGGTCATGATCTCACGGTTCGTGGGTTCGAACGCCACGTTGGGCTCTGTGCTGGCAGCTCAGACCCTGGAGCCTGCTTCGGATTCTGTGTCTCCTTCTCTCTCTGCCTTTCCCTCACTCGTGCTCTGTCTTTCAAAAATAAATAAATGTTAAAAAAAAAGTTTTTAAAAAGTATATCTACCTGAAAGGATGTTGAGGATTAAATGAATTACTATATGTAAAATATTTAGGACAGTGCATGACATGTGGTAAGTAATATGTAAATGTTAACAAAAAAAGAAAAAGAAAGAAAGAGAAGAAAGAGAAAGAAAACAGGAGCTCCGGATTTTTGCTCACGGACAGGGTATCTCTCTGACACCCTTCAGTAAACTGGACAGTTTAGCCATCCTTCCCTAAGCCTTCCGTCCTGCACGAGGCCACGACAGACCTTTGTCAAAATCCCTTACACATTTATGAACTTTCTTCTTTTTTTGACAAGAGATGGTGGGAAAACAAGTGTTCTGCGGGAGGGCTCTGATCCTCTGAGGAGAAAGCAGTCCCTCTGTGCCAAGTGTGCTCTTGGCCAGCATGCTCTGCAGCCAAGGGTGCTGGCCACGTGACTAGAATCACCTGAAAGATCTTCCAGACGTTCCCACCGGACCGTGCTACCAGCAGCAGCCACCGTGCATCCAGTCTGCATCGCTGCACGTTGGTCTGGGCGGAAGCGGAGGCTGGCGGGAGGACGGTGGGGAAACATACAACTGAGCCCCCTGTCTGTAAGCACACACACTTACACAGCTTTTCATTTTGAGGAGCTGACTGGAACTCTGTAAGGAACTACAAGAAAAATAGCTAAGGGCTGAAGCAGTGACTTGGAGCAGTGGTTTTTCAAAGTGTGCTAGCGGGATCATTATCTGCACTGGCATCACTAGGGAATCCGTTTTAACAAGCCTTCCTGGTGATTGTGATACTCAAGTTTGAGAAGCCCAGGCCTAGAGCTACAGTAGCTGTGCCCCTCCCCCCGTTCTCCGTCTCTATTTCTCTCCATCCTCATGGTGTCAGTGTCTTGGTCATTGTCCCCCTTACCACACACCCAACATCCCTTTTAAGAAAAAAGGGACTGATTAGATCTTTCCAAGCTATTATGCCTACGTGAGCCCTCAGAGAACCAGGAGAGGGGATTTGGCGTTTTCTCTCCTTGGAGATGAGAGGTTGCAAAACCGCTTTCTTTCTGCAGGTGAAAATTAGATAATCAGGCTTCATTTAGAAGCCCAGCAGGCTTTATAAGCCTCATTCTCTCCAGGCACAAAAAAGCCTAAGGGAAAGAAGCTGAGTGGTTTATCCCTGATGAAGGAGGCTAGCCCAGATTGCCCCAACTAAAGAACTGAAAGGGCTTGAAGATGCATTGCTTTGAACCAGTGAGACCTTTTTCCATTCTTCTATAAGATTTAGCACCTAGGATTTCCCCCAGAGACCTTAGGTGTGATCCTTTGACACATAGTTTGACGTGAACCTATCATCTATAATTCTGTGGAGGAAACCCGTGGAACCCACGGGCACAGGCGCCCAAGCATCCGTCTGGCCTCCCACTTTGGGAAGGGTAAAGGGGTGTTCCCTTCAGCTGCCCCTCCAGAGGGCTTGCTGTGGCAAAAAAAAAGGGCTGAGCCCAGAAGTGTGCATTCCTGGAGCTTTGAGCTGTCAGTCTTCTCTAGTTCTCCCGATGAGTTGATAGATGAATGAAATGAGATACAGAATGGTTAAGGAAGGTTCTTGATTACCCAGTTTGCCAGTGGCTGAGTTTTTGTTTTTTATACAGGAAAATTATAAGGTAGAACTTTCCTACTATCTTGTGGGTTAATGATGTCCAACATAGTAGCTACCAGCCACGTGTAGTTATCTTAAATTAATTAAAATTTAAAAATTCAGTTCGGGGGGGCTCACCTGGTTGAGCGTCTCACTTCGGCTGAGGTCATGATCTCGAGGTTTGTGAGTTTGAGCCCCATGTTGGGCTCGCTGCTGTCACACAGTCCAAGCAGAGCCCTCTTTGGATCCTCTGTCCCCCGCTCTCTCTGCCCTTCCCTTGCTTGTGCTCTCTCACAAGATAAATAAAACAAAATTCAGTTTTTTATTTGCACTTAGCCACTTTTTAAGGGCTCAGTAGCTGCATGTGGCTAGTAGCTACCCTATCAGAAAGTGCCATACAGAATATTTCCATCACTGCAGAATGTTCTATTGGATGCACTGGTCTAAAGTGATTGTTGTTGTAAATTGATATATGTCCTACATAAGTCGTTTGAATCATTCGCTTGTTTCCTTTGTCTCAAAAGATATTGCCAAGAAAAAGAGGGTAACACTCCGACCTCCAGCAGACTGAACTAACACAAAAGTAAGATACACTGAGGTATTTCAGTTAGTTGCTTACCTGTCTGTCGTTTACATGTCATTGTTTGGTATATATATACCTGTGTATATTTGTCCACTCAATTATTCTTTCAGTTGGTGTGCCTTTATTACATCACTACCATATTTTGGACATAGCATAGGTACTAGCATATTGCCTTGCCCGTAAGAAGCTGCTGTCCAGAAGAGACAGATGAAAGAACAGATCATTGTAATACAGCATGGTATGTTTTAATATGTATAATGATATGAAGCGCTTTAAAGAAGCAAAAAGAGGAAATAAACTCGTTGGGCCTGGGAGAATTAGATAAGGCTTCTCAGAGTGGGTGATATTTGAGCTGAGGCTGGAAGCATGGGTAGGAGTTTGCCAGTGGACTGAGGCGCCCAGCTACAGGAAAGCATATGCAAAGGCACAGAGGCATGAAATGGCTGCTGTGCTGGGGACAGTGAGAAATGCAATATGCTGGGTTGGGGTGGGGGATGGGGGGAGTAATTAGGGCCAGGTGGGCACAGGTGGTACCTGCCTTTCTAGCAAGTTGGAACTTTGTCCTCTAGGCACGAGCACTTATTTTAAGTAGTCCCCTTCGTCCAGCTTTAATGTAGTAAATCCTAATAAAGAGGCTGGTGGGTGGGGGCACCTGGCTGGCTCAGTCAGTAGAGCATGAAGATTCTTGATCTCAGGGTTGTGAGCTTGAGCCCCACATTGGATGTAGAGTTTACTTTAAAAAAAAAAAAAAAAGCCTAGGAGCCTGGGTGGCTCAGTCAGTTAAGCCACTGACTCTTGATTTCGGCTCAGGTCATGATTTTGTGGTCATGAGATCGAGCCCTGTGTCAGGCTCTGCACTGAGTGTGGAGCCTGCTTGGGATTCTCTCTTTCTCTCTCTGCCAACTCCCCACTCATTCTGTCTTTCTCCCTCTCTCTCTAAATAAATAAACATTTTTTGAAAAGGGCTGACAGCTCATGTAGTTGAAGGTATCAAGGTACATTATGTGCTTCACACTGGGCTTAGCACATGGTGAGTACTCAACACGTCTTCACTCCTGCCCCTTCCCGTGCACGTTTGCACCTGTTTTCTCTTAACAAGCAGCTGCTTCTTACCTGCCCTTCCACAGTGCTTCTAAGTCCCTGGAAGTGAATGATTTCTCATTTCCCTGGATGTTAAGTCTAACAAAATCTCATCCTCCTATCTATTATGGGCTCATTGATATGGTCCTTTCGACAACAGTTAAAATGTCTGCTTCAATTTATCTGCTTTCTTTCTCCTGCTAAATTTTTCTCTTTCCATTATGATATATGACCTTTCTGCATATAACTTTACAAAAAATGTCTTTCGTCTATCTATTACTGCCCCTGACATCCTATCATAAGACAGTGTTATAAATGGAGAACTTTCAGGAAGAGCTTCATTTTTAAAAGGGCATCTCTTATATTTGAATGACTGCAGGGGTTTCATTGCGAGTAAATGTGCCAGACAGATACTGCTCTTAATTGTGATGTATTAATAACAGGCACCTAATTCATCCTAGGTCACTGGCATGCAGGGCAAGCATACAAATGGAGGCACATTCCAAGCGTCTAAGTATTTATAAATCAAGCTAACAACTGGTAAGTAAAATTTGCTTTATCTTTCTACATTGATAAATAAACCCTCATAATGACAAAAAAAAAATAAAACATGTTTCAAGCAATAGCTTTTATGTGACAGAAAGTTGGTGAAATACAATTAAATCTAATGATGATTGCACATATCTGAATGTCCTTTTGATGAGCTACTGATTTTTGTGGTAAGACCAAAAGAGACATACATAATTCATAAATGTTTCTGTAGATCTTTTTCTTTTACTTCAGCAAAATCACTATGTTATCAAGATTTTTGGCAATGATCTAAGGGATTAAGAAAATGAGGGGTGCCTGGGTGGCTCAGTTGTTTAAACATCCCACTCTTGATTTCAGCTCAGGTCACGAACAGCACAGTTTGTGAGTTCAGGCCCCACATGGGGCTCTGCGCTGACAGAGTGGAGCCTGCTGGGGATTCTCTCTGTCCCTCTCCCTCTGCCCCTCCCCTGCTCATGCTCTCTCTCTTTCAAAATAATTAAAAATAATTTTTTAATGTTTATTTATTTTTAAGAGAGGGAGAGAGAGACAGTGTGAGCAGGGGAGGGGCAGAGAGAGAGGGAGACACAGAATCCCAAGCAGGCTCCAAGCTCTAATCTGTCAGCACAGAGCCTGACACGGGGCTCAAACTCACGAACTGTGAGATCATGACTTGAGCTGAAGTCGGACACCTAACCAACTGAGCCACCCAGGTGCCCCTGCCTCTCACTCAAAATTAGTAAATAAACGTTTAAAAAAAGGAAATATAATTGTGTTCAAATACCGTTTGAATATGCTTACATTCAAGTGTTTATTAAAATAGATATAAACAATAGAAAAATTAAGTGACTTTTATCTACTAAAAAGTAAACAGCAAATTATTAACAAATACCAACATTTTAATGAAAAATCTTTAAATAAAGATGACATTTTAAATTTATTTTTTTGAAAATTTAAATGCTATTGAATAGTTTAGTAAAAAGAAAGCACTTTAAACTCTTGTGTTTGGTGTCCAGTGTAAGGAAATGCTCCATGCCTGTTAGAGCAAATTCACGAGTATGCAAATTTATACTTAATATCGCAAGATGTTCCTTAGTAGTTATGGGCAATTGTGTTGAATACCACCCTAAGTCATGAGAACCTCCAGAACCACAAAGTAGAACACGAAGATGAAACAAGAAAATGGACCTTCAGCCTCCTGGGAGATTACGATCTGTCATGCAAGAACCTAGCGCACTCACAGTATGTCAGGAAAGGTTGACAAGTTAATTCGTTTTGTTTCTCTCCCACCTGTTTGTGCCATTCATAGCCTTCCCACAACCCAAAGCAACGTCTGTCTTTGACTTTGGCAGTGACACAACCCACTAGCCATCCTGGCATTTGTACGCAGGTGCCTTTGTCTCAAGAGCAAAGGACAAGAGAGGTTGGAGAAGCATTTCCCTGGGGCCTGATCAGAGTAGGTACGCAGGTGCTAAGTAACGCCCAGGCCAGGAACCCCGCTGACCTGGGTCTAAGGGCAGGCCTGGATATGTCTACACTCTGTGTCTTGGTCCATTTGGGTTGTTATGACAATATCATAGACTGCGGTTTATAAACAAATTTGTTTTTCGTAGTTTTGGAGGCTGGGAAGTTCAGAGTCAAAGCAACTGCAGACACTAGACAGGTAGTGTCTAATGAGGACGCTTCCTAATATATAGATAGCCCTCCTGCTGCGTCCTCACGTGGTAGAAGGGGTGAGGGAGCTCTGTGGAGTCTCTTTCATGAGGAAACTAATCCCCCATCTGATCACCTCCCAAAGGCCTTGTCTCCAAATACCATCAAATTAGAGATTACGTTTCAGTTTATGGAAGAACGACAGAATATTCCACTCCAACATAGGCCTCTTGGGCATAAAGATTATTTTGAGGTGATTATTTTAAGAAACAGCAGATACAGGAGAAGCTCTGAAAATGGAGTAGAAATTAGGCTTTTGTAAGGGAAATGGACATTTATACAGGAAATCCCAGTTGTAAGGGTGTCTCCCTCTCTGTACGAGGAAGAGAAGGTTGTCTCTAAATCACAAGACTCTTGCCAGTGGAGAAGGTGCCTACCCATAATTGGTTTCCCTGACACCCCCCCCTTTTTTTTTTTTTTTAAATCCTTAGTCGAAGACACCATTTAAACCTGAATTCTAAGCCACCTCCTTGAGTGTTACTGATTTTTCTCTGGGTGTCTCCCATGTGTACATGAAGTATACATGTTTAAAAAACTTTTTTTTTGTTTTTCTCTTGTTAATCTGTATTTTGTTCCAAGGGCCCTAGCCAAGAATTTACAACAATAGAGGAAAAAGATATTTTCCCTCTTCTACAATATGAATTTTGGAGGAGACACAGCCTATAACCCTCTGGGTCTGGAATTTTATTTATTACAAACCTATTACCTCAGATTTAGGTGATAAATGAGACCTTGGCCTCTTAGAATTGTTTGTAACGGATGAGTGTGTAGGGAGAATGATGGTGTCATAACATCATGATACTCTGTATTACACATATTTTAAAATGATGTTACTCTTTCTACTACAAGAATTTAATGAACGAGGATGTTTTTGTAAGTACACTGCCCTTCCCACTACCTACCTGACACATAGAATCAAATTAGGCACTATCATTTCTCCACCCTGGTTCCAATATATATTTTATGAATCTTATATTTCATCTGAGCATGAGTCACTGATACAGATTTAGGGCATGATTTTTGTACTACCAGTTATGGTCACCGGGGGAACCATGACTTGGAAGCTTCTTGGTTCCATTTCAGCAGGAGTGGGGATGTCTCTATAGTCTTGCTGTGAGATGGTGGGGGCAGTTTGAGGGGGTACCTTGGACTGCCTGAGGCACACTAACAGAAAAGTACCTCCCATCCCAGAGTCAAGGTATTTTTTTTTTTGGATCTGAAAGGGGAAAATAGCCAATTAATTCATGCCTATATATATGATTCTGTACATTGAGAAGATTAAACCACATGTTTGAAATTCACAGGGTCCATGTATTGCTTGCCTTTGATGTCCCGGGCTTCTGTTCTGCAGAGTGCCTCCAGCCCCTGGTGGGGCTGACTAGCCCATGACCCAGCACCTAACATTTAACATTTGCTATTTGATAGGTTGAGTTGAAAATGAAAGGGTAATATTCAGAGAGAAACTTCGAGGAGGCAGATGGGACTGGAAATTTTAGCAAAACGCCGGGACAGGTTTGGGGCTGCCCTTAGGTGAAAAAGGGGAAGGCACGAGAACAGATGCATGAACATATCATGTGAACGACTGAAGCACATGCATGTTTGCATATATAATTTATGTTTGAACTGAGTGCTATGTAGGACAGAGAAAGTGGGGAGGAGCTGAGTGAGCCCATTGGCCTGAATGTGGAAAGCCCGGGCTTTAGTGAAGAAACTGTCCATCTGCAGACTACTCTTTGGACTGCAGCTCACACTCAGGGGTGTTACAAAATAAACGAAGGCACATTAAAATTATGAAGCATTTAGTTGAGCAAACATCCATTCCAAATGAGCAACACTAAACCGGAAGTGATGAGAGCTCCACTGATAGGAGCTAGGGGCAAGACTTTTATAGAACAGGTGCAGAAGCAGGGAAATTATTTGATTGGCTATTATAGCTTAAGCAGTTGCCTCATTTGGGAAAGATTAGTTGGCTGTTTGTGATTGGTTGCCTTTAGATTTCAATTTCATAACCTTGAGGCATTTAATAGGCTTAGGTTTTGGTTTGCTTGTGGTAGGCTGCCAAGGCATTAAAGCCCTCAGTTTAATGGACTCCTTTAATTAATTTAACAGGGAACGGATCCTCTTCATGCAGCGGTCAAGTGAGAAACTGGAGAGTTTCTTGGAAAATACTCCCATCTTCCATCTTCCTTTGAACCTCCTGCTCTGGTAAAATGTCATGCAAGGAAAGGACGGGGTCTTTGTTTTGACTGGCTAAAGTGGTCTCCTGCTAGGAGCTGAGGGCAAGAATATAAGATTACTTACCAAGATATCTTCCTGGGAGCCCTCTGGTATTATGATCACCTAACCCTTCTGTAAATTGCCTTTAATTCTCTCTGCCAATAGGACTTTCCCAATAAGCCAGGGCAAGTGTGAAGGATAAAGTTGTAAAAACAAATGCAAAACCTATTTTCTAGCCTCTACTTGCTTTGAGGATCCAGATTTATTTTTTCTTTTATTTTTTCTTTTGTTTTTAATTTTCCTTATTATTCTTTCTTACAAACCCTTGTGTCCAGGGCTGACTTTCAATAGATCACAGCGAGGGAGCTGCTCTGCTATGTAGGAAACCCCTTCTGCCCAGAAGCAGGTCTTCTATGCATGGCTTAGCACCAGGCTCCCCACAAACCCCCTGTTGCCTGGCAGGTGAGGGGGTGGCCCCCTTCCAGCTGCTCCCCTTTCCCGGGTGGAGGGGCTCTCCACATTGATCGCGATGGGGCACACCCGGGAGGGACGGCTGGGCACCCGCTATCCCTGGCCAACACAAGTCCCCCAGCGCTGCGGGTTATCAATTCTGCTTGGACCGGATTCTGACTTAGAGGTGTGGAATCACAATCCCACAGATGGTAGCTTTGCCCCAGACAATCCAGATTTAAATGATAGTAATAAATTCTTTACCTATTGAAAACAATAACAAAATATTTTTAACCTTCTCTATCTTTGTGCTTCCAATCCTTTTGAGTTTGAATTCTCTATACAAACTCATGATTGCTTACACCAGTGTCTGAGTACCCTGTAATTCTTATATCTCTGGGTGTAGTTGTTACAGAAAAGTGATGTCCACCCCCACACCCCCCCCAAAAAAAAAAGAAAGAAAGAAAAGCGATGTCCAATATGGTGGCCACTAGTAAGCGGCTACTGAGAACTTGAAATGTGACTGATCTGACTTGAGATGTATTCTAAGTGTAAAATACACAGTGCATCTCATAACCCTTGCTTCGCACCTGTATGGAATCCCCTCCTCTTTGAATGTGGGAAGGGCCTGTATCTTCCTTCTAACAGAATATGGCAAAAGTGATGGGATGTCACTTCCACAATTATGTTACATAGATTGTAATTTCCATCTTGCTAGCAGACTCTTTCTGTTAACTCTCCTTTGCTGGCTCTGGTGACGTAACCCACCCTTTGGAGAGACCTATCTGGCGAAGAACTCAGGAAAACCTCCAGCTGGCAGCCAGCAGCAAGATGAGCCCCTGAGTCTGGTAGCCCACAAGGAACTAAATCCTGCCAATAATTGTGTGAGCCTGGAAGTGGATACATCCCCATTCAAGCCTCACATGAGACCCCAGTCCTGGCTGACATCTGGATTGCAGTGTCATAAGAGATCTTAAAGCAGAGGACCCACTAAGTCAGGCACAGATTTTCTGACCTACAGAAATTATGAGATAATGTGTTCTGGTAAACTGCTAAGTTTGTAGTAATTTACTGTACTACAGTAGATAACTAATACAGAACCAAAAAGAAGAATGTCAGCTATCTCATTGTTAATTGTTTAATATTGATTACAGGTTGAAATGAGAGCGTTTTGGAATATATTGGGCCAAATAGAATATTTCACCAAAATTTTACCTTTTTTTTTTCTTTTTTACTTTTTTAATGTGGGTACTAGAAAATCTAAATACGTGGCTTGCATTATATTTACACTGGACGGCACTGGCATAGAACTCCAAGGAGACAAGAACTTCCTGTAGTTTATGCAGCCCAGCATCCTGGAGGGAGTTGGTTGTTACATCCTTAGCATCACCCTGTCACTTCCTGGGGCATGCTACTGAAACAGAAAATAGTCTGTCACTTCTGGAAAAGATTGATTCACCCTTTTTGAAGATGGGGGAAGCTGTTGTATAATTTTTGCCCAGAGGTGAAATCTGCTTAGTCTTCTTACTTTTGGATGCTGCCTTCAGGGTTTAATTTGTTTCAAATTAAGAGCAGGTGGCAGATGCAATTAAAGGGAAGAAAACAATTGCAAATTAAGCACGATTTTTAAAACTTATTTGCAAGGCAGCAACACATTCAGGGAATAAATGCTAATTATTTTGAATTATTTGTTTACTCATTGTGTCATATGTGTGCCATTTACTGATTAATGCTTTACTACTAATGCCACCTCCTTTATTGCTAATTAATAAAGCTAAAATGTGGGGTCCCTAGCTGGCTCAGTCAGTAGATCATGTGACTCTTGATCTCAGGATCATGAGTTCAAGACCTACCTTGGACGTGGAGCCTACTTTAAACAAACAAACAAACAAACAAACAAACAACAGGGGCACCTCTGTGGCTCAGTGGGTTAGGCTTCTGACTTTGGCTTAGGTCATGATGTGCTGACAGCTCAGCCTAGAGCCTGCTTTGGATTCTGTGTCTCCCCCTTTCTCTGCCCCTCCCCTGCTCACACTCAGTGTTTCTCTCTCACTCAAAAATAAACATTAAAAAAAAAAAGAAAAAAAAAGCAGCTAAAATGCTATGACTAGTGAGTCTGATATACCCCCTCTGGAGGGTCTGATTTCCTCCAGGCCTATGTGCCCACTCCCCAGGAAATTGCTGCTGTCCAGAGCTATTGATGTGAATGTAAGTTTTTATAACCCTCCAGTGTGTTGGAAGATAAAATATGTAGGTTGCTGAGAATAGCTAGGAGGTAACCAAGACATTGCGTAGAGTAACTAATTGTTGTAACTTTAAACTTAATATATTATATTAATATAATATATATAATTATATGTAATTATATAAATTTATTAAGATATTTGTATCTTTTAGAGGAGAGTTTGAGAAATTCAGGGAAGAGTGAGGAGCTTCCTGTAGCAGCACCATTCAACATGTCCTCAGTTATCTTAAGCAAATTAACCAGCAAAACAAAACAAACATCAAAACAGGTTAACAGTTTTGATATTAATTCATTCAAGTAGTTCCCCAAGTGTCTATCAAATACTTCTTCAAACCACATACAGAATTCTCTGGAGAGGAGGGTTTTAAATAAAATATTTTCTTTCTCATTATACTATTAGTGATGCAGTAGAGTCCCTCGTAGATTGGTGCAGTTGGCACTGTTTGGCAGTCCTCGCCCTTAATTTGACTCTGGTCAGTCATAAGCATATATGAATGAACCTCACTCAAATGAATCTCTAGTGAGCAGATGCTTTTTTAATATATGAAAAGTGCTAACAATAAAGTGAGAACAAAACAGGATGAGCTTCTCAGCTGATTCAAGGACTTATTAGCTTGATACCCAAAGATATGTGGAAAACTAACACCTATCATAAATATTCTAATTTCAAAAATGTACTTGAACCAGGATGTGTTGCCCTGTTGAGGCTGAAGTGATTAGGGGACCAAGTTCACACCTCAGGGCATCATATCTTGTAATAATACTGTGTGTACTATAACTCCAAGATTGAAGAAGTACTCCAGGATTAGTGGAGGTGGCCTGTAGTACTTGTTCAGAGGAGTTAATGTGCCAAAGTTTTTTAGCCTTATGTATATGACTGGGTGTTCAGAGAGACCATTAAGCTTCTTGAAGGTGTGATTTCACCCACACTCACCCAGGTTTTTTCATCTGTAATTGTGCACCCCCAAGGAGGACTTCAGGATCTAGAAACATGTTCTGACTATCCCGGAAAATACTGTAATTCTCTGCTTTGAAGCCTGACTGCACTGACATGCTTCTGTATCCTTTCAATAATGGACTCTATTTGATCTAACCGAGTGACATCTTAGTTTAGTGTCTCCTCACCCTGAGCACACTCTTGACATGTCACTTCTGTGGACAGGAAGAATGTATAAAGAACAATTCATAAAAGGAGAATTCCAAATGGTTAATAAATGGCTAAAAGAAAAAGTTTAATCTCAGGGACAATAAAAATGCAAATAAAAATGACATCCCAGTTTATAGCAACACTATCAACAATAGCCAGGGGCACCTGAGTGGCTCCGTCAGTTAAGCATCCAATTCTTGGTGTCAGCTCAGGTCATGATCTCACTGTTCCTGAGTTCAAGCCCTGAGTCGGGCTCTGTGCTGACAGTATGGAGCCTGCTTGAGATTCTCTCTCTCCCTCTCTGTGCCCCTCCCTTGCTCATGCTCTCTCTCTTTCTTAAAAATTAAATAAGTAAAACTTGAGAAAAAATTTAACAATAGTCAAATTATGGAAGGAGCCCAAATGTCCATCGACCAATGAATGAATTAAAGAAGATGTGGTATATATACACAATGGAATATTACTCGGCGATCAAAATGAATGAAATCATGCCATTTGCAACAACATGGGTGGAACTAGAGTGATTATGCTAAATGAAATAAATCAGAGAAAGACAAATATCATATGATTTCACTTAGATGTGGAATTTAAGAAACAAAACACGAACACAGGGAAGGGAGGGAAAAATAAGATAAAAACAAAGAGGGAGGCAAAACCTAAGAGACTCTTAAATACAGAGAACAAACTGAGGGCTGTGGGAGGAGACCTAGGTAAGGGGATGGGCTAAGAGGGTGATGGGCATTAAGGAGGGCACTTCTTGGGGTGAGCACTGGGTATTATATGTGAGTGATGAATCACTAAATTCTACTCCTGAAACCAATACTACATTACATGTTAACCAACTTGGATTTAAATTAAAAAAAAAAGTCTAAATACATAAATAAACTTTAAAAAAAGACATCCTTTTCTCTGATGAAATGAAAAAATGTATTTTACATTATAATTCTCACATTTAGCTTAGGTTTGTGAATTAGGCGATGTCACACACCACTGCTGTAAGTGTAGTTTTCCAGAGGACCATTTGGCAGTCTATTTCAAGACCTAAACGCCTACTTTTAGGAATGTATCATAAGAAAATAACCAGAAATGAAAACAAAACACATGTATAAGGATGTTTGTAAGGTTATCTATAACAGAAACAAATGTCCAATTAGGAAGACTGTTGTACAGTCATGAATAATGTTTCGAAGAATATGTAACGACAAAAGTTTAATAAAACCTGCCAAAACTATGTTCTGAGATAACACAGATTCAAAGTAACTGCACCTCCCCCATCAGCCCCCCTTCTCTACTGGGATGCACTAAAGTCCTTATCTTCTGGGGTGTGGGGGATGTAGAGGGGGGACAAGGCTGGGTAGGGAAACAACAGGCATCCCTTCTTGGAAAGCAGGGAAGTGAAGAGTTTTGCTCCGGTGTTCTTGTACCTCCAAAAGACTCCAGAAATTACCATCGCTGTTCTGGAAGTCCTGTCAACCCCTGAAGCCAGAATCCTCCCCATCGATATTTGGAGCAGATAAATGCCACCAGGTGCACCAAACTGAAGCCAGGACTTGGGTGGGTTTAGATTTGACTGGCCACCTGCACAGGTCATCCCAATTATTTCATTAACCTTATAGTAATGTGACCTCAGACTTTGTGGCTAAATTCTTTACTGTTTTCCATTGAGTGGAAAAAGCAAGATAGAACACTTTATGCACCTTTGCTCCTAATTCAGCAAAACAAATAAGTAAACTCTAAATATACAGATATACACAAACAAAAATAAAATATTAAAAAAATTATTAGTGGTTACTTCTGATTAGTGAGCTATGGGTAATTTTAATATCCTTTTTTTTTTTTAAATTCAAGTATCATTAACATATAGTGTTATATTAGTTTCAGGTGTACAATATAATGGTACTCTATATTATACTTTCCTATATTTTCCAAAAATTTTTTTAAGTTTATTTTGAGAGCAACTGAGTGCACAAGCAGGAGAGGGGCAAAGAGAGAGGGAGGATCCCAAGCAGGCTCCCACACTGTCAATGCAAAGCCCACCCAACACGGGGCTCAAACTGAGGAATCCGAAACTGTGAGATGCTGACCTGAGCCAAAATCAAGAGTCGGACTCTCAGTCGACTGAGTTACCCAGGCGCCCCTGTATTTTCCAAATTTTTCTATATTGGACATGTATTACATATATATATATATATATATATATATATCCTCTCTCTCTCTCTCTCTCTCTGTCTCTCTCTCTCTCTCTGTCTCTCTCTCTCTCTCTCTCTCTATATATATATATTGAGAGGAGAGGTGCCTGGCTGGCTCAGTTGGTATAGAGCATGTGAATTTGATCTCGGGGTTATAAGTTGGAGCCCCATGCTGAGTGTAGAGGTTACTTAAAAATAAAATCTTACTGAGGGAAACTTTTTTTTTTCTAACCCAAAGATCTGTTTGTAAATATATGGCTCGTCATAGAGAAATCGATTTTTAATCTAGCTAATTAAATTTATCCGGCCTTATTTTAATGGCTGACTATTACAGAATGCTTCTTCCTTAGCGTAACATCTTAAAACTCTATTGGATATAAAGATGTAAGCAGCATCTGCTTTAGATACTGTCGAGTGGAATCTTGAACAACCGCGTTCACATTTTTGGAAAGGATTTCACAAGGTCTGAAAATATGGTCCCTGTTTCAAGCTTAGTGTAACATTTTATAAATGTACCATTTTATTAAATGTTACAACATCCTTTTGGTTAATAAAAATATTTAATCCAATTTTCTTGGCCATTTAAAATTTTAGTGATCTCTTGCAGCATAAGGGACCCTCTTGCTTTAAACCTGACGTAAAGTGAAAGACCTGGAAAAACCAAGAGACATGGAAATAAGACTGGAAGTCATAGGGGTATGAAACACACACATACTTTCCCATTCTTCCAACTGCATTATTTCCAAGCAAAGGATCATTTAGGGTCCACGAGTAAATGGCAAACGATGTAGCACTTTTGTGGCCTGGAGATTCTTTTCTGTGAAGAGGCAGTGGGATTTCAATTATTTACGCTAGAATTTAATGACCTTATTAGGCCTTGACCCCGCCTCCTGCCCAGGAGTGGAAGGGGAATCTTAAAAAGATCCCTTAAAGGGAATGAGCCCACACAGCACAGGCCTCTCTCTCTCTGTGACAAGTGAGGCCCAACCCCATGCTTTTCTTCCCCTTCTGACTCCCTAACTGGATACTTAGCAGGGAGAACAAAATGAGGAAATCGAAGCTTTGCCAGGGGATTTCTCGTTTTTTCTACAGCTCAGTTCTTC